CCCTGCTGCCACAGCCACCCCAGAGCTGCCCTCCGGCCTCGGGGGGCTGCCAAGGCACGTGAACCCCAAAGGCTCAGCTCTGGAAGGCGACACAGCTGTCACCCTTTGAGACCAAGCCCAGTGCTGGCTGGGGGAGCGGGAGAACCCCAGGACCCTGTGTCCCTCCGCCTTGGCTTAAATCATAGTCGCACGAGTTCAGTGTTTCCCAGCTTTTTTCTTTTTTGTAAAGTGCCCCTTTAAAAAAAATTAGAAGTGCCCCCAGTACCTACCGTTTTCAGACACACGCATTTTTTTTCTACCATTGCCACACATTTGTTTAAACAACTTAATCGTAGCCAGGCAGGTGATGAATTTTTGGGGTGTAAAAAGTGCAAAAATAATAAAACGCTGTAAAACTTAAAACAAAAATTCCGTTTTTTCCAAATTTCAATGGTGTTGATGTACCCCCCAGACTTCTCTCGAGTACCCCTAGGGGTACTGGTATCACTGGTTGAGAAACTCTGTACCAATTAACTGGAGCATATGGCTGAACTTGATGACCTCTTGAGGTCCCTTCCAGTCCTATTATTCTATGATTCTATGGCTCCATAGGTTTATTGTAGGGCAAGCCAACCACATTCATAAACAATCAACCATATACTTGAGTTTAGGTGCTAGTACCTCTGTGCATGCATCTGTCTGTCTGCTCAAGAACTCCTAAACAATAAGAACAAGAGCTTCAGAGGAGTAGCTGACTACAGAGTAGTCTGTAACTGGAAAAACTTAAAAAACAACTAATAGTTTAGCAGCACCTTAAAGACTAGCAAAACATGTAGTAGTAAATGATATCATGAGCTTTCGTGGGTACAAACCACTTCTTCAGATGAAACAAGGACCACCACATTTGGTATGCAGCTTCCTTTTCTAATAACTTAAACAGAGGTGAGCATTTGGTTGTGCCAGGACAACAGGATGTGCCCAGAATGGGACTGCATCTCAGAAAACCATGCGCAGTGAGAGGGCAGTGAGCAAGCATGGTGAGCAGGCATCGAGCAAAGGTGGCAAGCAAGAAGGGCGAGCAGGCAGCGAGGGCAGCAAGTGGGTGAGGGGCAATCGGATAGTCGGCAACGAAAGAGCGGGCAGTGGGCAGCAGTCAGTGAGCAGTCAGGCAGCGGGCATGCGTGCAGCTAACAAGTGCATGTGGCAGGTGAGCGGGCAGCGAATGAGTGGGAAGTGAGTGAGCGGATGGTAGGCAGGTGGGCAAATGGGCGGGCAGTGGCTGGGAGTGCAGTGTGTGGCGGGCAGGCGGCGAGTGCATGCGGCGAGTGAGCAAGTGGCGAACGAGCAGGCAGCAGGCAAGCTGGTGGCAGGCGAACAGGTGGCGAGCGAGCGGGTGGGCATCTGGCATGTGAGTGGGTGGGAAGCGCGGGCAGGGAGTGGGCAGAAGGGCAGTGAGCCAGCGAATGACCTCTTCAGTCGGGTGTCAAGCCATATCGGGAAGGCGGCAAGTGGGCGGGAGAGTGAGTAGGTGGTGAATGACGGGGCAGTGGGCAAGCGGCGAG